TTTATGGCCGTTCGTTAAAGGGGCGGTGGGCGAAAGGTAAGTGGGCGTGGCACCTCTAACCCACCTTTTTGGAGAAGGAATGAACCGCCATTGACAAAAATGCAACCCCCCACCACCTAGGTCCCCTATGGTTCCCTAGGGACCCCTTAGAAAAATTGCCAAAAATCACAATTTTCATTTGCGTTTATTCGCTTAAAAAATGTTAAATATTCATTTGCATAATACATTATATACACATTTTTACACACAAGGCATTTTTATAAAACACCCAGTAACCAAAATAGGCATCACTGGGGCGGTAGCCCCAGGTTTACAACACAGAAAGGGAATTCTAGTTACCTCATCCTTTCCCAAGGTTACATCACTGGGGCGGTAGCCCCAGTTTGGCCACATAGAAAGGAGAACTCTACTGAGTAAGGGTTATAATCCCTAAGCGCGGCCGAAGCCCGCCTACGCAGAAAGAAATTCTACGCAAAAATAATGTGGACGCAAGTAAAAATTTCGATTTTTGGCCATTTTTCTAAGGGGTCCGTAGGGGTCCATAGGGGGCCTAGGTGGTCGGGGGTTGCATTTTTGTCAATGGCGGTTCATGCCCTCTCCAAAAAGGTCGGTTGGAGGTACCACGCCCACTCCCGCTTCGACCACCGCACCTTTAACGAACGGCCATAATGGAAAGTTTCCCCAAAATAATTGTTGTCTTAAATTTTTGTCTGAAAATTATTAAAAGATAAATAATCTTGTAAAAATTCATATTTTTTGTGAAAAAAAACAACACAATTACTTTGAAAAATATGTCAAATCTTAGTCTATGTACAAGTACTCGACACCTTTCCGATACTGAGTAGGTATCGATACCTTGTTTGATACAAGTACAAGTACTGATTTGAGTAAAACCTTGACGGTATCGATTTATCCCTAAATGAGACCGAAAAAAGTGCAGATCAGATCAAGTTAGGGCAGAATCGAGCAGCTGTCAAATAAACAATAGAGTAAGTTAGAGCAACATAGATCACAAATCTCATGAAACACTTTTCAGGCAGAAATTCTCAAAACAGTGGCTTGCTCTAAGTTACTCCATCAAAAAAGCTGGTGCCGAAAATCGTGCTTTAAGTTGCTCTAGTTCCACTTAGCGCAGGCTCATGAAACAAAAAGTAGAGTGACTGCCCGTCTCCACAGGATAAAGTTTATATTTTGATACATATGTCCGAATATAACTTGCCAATGGAGACCGCTCATTGCTCTTCGAGAGCAATATATATCAGAGCTTATATCTTGCCATCTATTGCCGGCAATTTGGTTTGACAGCTACATTTTCATTTGCACGAAAACTTCGTGGCTGCAACATTATTATTTTAATATAAAAGCAAAAATTTAGCTGTTTCCTGTTAAAATATTTGTAATTATGTATTTGGATGTAAAATAGCCTATTTTCTAAGTTTTTTAAGCGATTAAATCCGGCAAAAATACGTTTTCGAAGCTATCTTACAAATGCTTATATCAGGATATAAAGAGCCCACACAAATATTGCCACTGATATAAATTATATCTAGCGACCAAAATGACAGCTGGGTAGCAATAAATTTTATCCTGTGGAGACGGCCAGTAAGTTAGAGCAAGAAAAATGCTCATGAAAATAATTTTGTGAGATATCTTAACCTGGCGTAATTCCCCTGCCAATGGTTTCAACTGCCATTTTTAGCATTTTCGTGTCATTGGAAAAGGACCGGGCCAATCAACATTGACCGTAAGATAGTCCTGGACTAGTCCAATTTTGGAGATTTTTTTCGTTGGAGTAAGATTGAGTTCTGCACTTCGCAGATGCTTTTTCATAATTCGGAAACACAAAAAAAAATAAATTTTTTCATTTTATAACCATGTTGCTTCTGACGGCATTTGAACCCAGACCCTCCTGAAAGCTAACAAATAGTTGTAAGCATCTCTGCCCACTGACCTACAGCAACGCATGTAAATGTGTGTTCAAATGTTCACTTTGCATCAAGGCCATACCAAGCGATTGGGACATTTACAGGGTGGTGTTCTTTAATTTTTTTTTTTTCAATTGCAAGACAACACCACCCTGCCACTGCCACACTGTATTTTTCGTCTATCTCTAGGCCGGATCGTTGGGGACTGGTCGAGGGCTGACATTTTCGATGCACTTGTCCAGTCAAATTTTATTCAGTTAAGTACTAGTCCTTAACGGAACATTGACCGCCTTAAGCTGAAATTAGTCAATAACGTAAACCTACCGGTACGTAAACCCGAGTCAGCTGACACGATCTGTCTTACCAAAGCGCCATGTAAATGAAAACTCAACACCGCAGAATTTTTCTGTAGTTGTAGCCCGTAGCGCAGAAATCTGCGGAATTTAGATTTTTGCGTGTCAGCTGATTTCACCTTCTTTAGATGGTTGCCACTTCGTCAATCTTACAGATGGTAAAAAAGTTATAAGTTCCTATTCAAAATATGTTTAAAATATTTGAAATTTACTATTGAATAAGGTTTTTGTTGAAAACTAAGTAGTTTATATTTAGCTAAAATCTATTATAGCACGAAAAATTGTAGTTGAAAGGGTAAGTTTATGAAAAGGCATTGATGAGTGGCAACAGTGTAGTAAGCAACACTGAGGGCTCCAGTAATCGACAAAATTCTGCGTATAAAGACTGCGTTTAAGTATACGTTCTGCGTTGTCGACTAATTTCAACTTTATTGCTGCAGGGCTAGAGCAGCTCATTAAACACAACTATAGTTATTATTAGTCTGTTCCAATAGCAGTCCGGTTTACAGGATTTAGTCAGAACTTACAGGAAGTCGTTCCTATTGACATAAAACCTGTAAGTGGGAACACATTTGAGAGAGTAACTGAGCAACTGTTCCTAGTCAGAAGTTACAAGATTTAGTCCGGAGTTTTTTTTTCTGTAAGTTCATGAAAAGTGTCAAACGATCAGCTGATTTACATGTGCAAACAAAAACAGAAAGCGGTGAAAGCAAATATAAGGTTATTTGCTTTCACCGCTTTCTGTTTTTGTTTGCACATGTAAATCAGCGGGTACTGTTTAGTAAGTGGCCCACCTATTTCGGGGTATTGCGTCCAAAGGGGTGACCCGATCCAAAATTGCACACACTTGTAGCCAAGGGTCTACCCATTATTTTAACATCCACTATTGTAATTTTTGGTCACTAATTTATTTACAAATTGGGTTTGAAATATGCCCTTTTTTGTAAAATTCGGAAATTAGCGTACATTTATCACTCCTATTTTCCTTAAAGCAGCCACTTCACCAATGCATTTTTATATTCCCCTTCACTTTAAACTTTATTCGACTTGTTACAACTTTCTTTATTACTTTAGTTTTAACCTATCAATCACAATTTATTAAATAAAAACACCTTCAAAACCACGCGTCTGCCTTTGGTTGCATATGCAAATTAAATGGCGGCGTTTAGCTGTCAAACTGCTAAATATACCAGAAGGATGAGAGACAAAAGAAAATATGATATAACCCAGTCAGCATTAAAAAGGCAGAAAGGTGTTCTCTGCAAAAGGAGTTCAGCCCCCTTTCTTTGGCAACACAAAAGAGAATTCTACGTAGTGAGGGTTATAATCCCTAAGTGCGGCCGAAGGTGTTCTCTGCAAAAGGTGTTCAGCCCCCTTTCTTTGGCAACACAGAAGAGAATTCTACGTAGTGAGGGTTATAATCCCTAAGTGCGGCCGAGGCCGCCTACGCAGAAAGGTGTTCTCTACAAAAGGTGTTCAGCCCCCTTTCTTTGGCAACACAGAAGAGAATTCTACGTAGTGAGGGTTGTAATCCCTAAGTGCGGCCGAAGGCCGCCTACGCAAAAAGTTCTGCGCTAAAATAGTATCATAGGGGCTTTTCGTAAAGTGGCGACTGTCCCCTTTCGAATGAGGGGGGTTTGGGGGCCATGCTCCCTCCCCCTCCGGCCCCAACCCCAAAAACGATGGGCCAATAACTAAACATTTCCCAAATCAGCTGATCGTTTGACACTTTTCATGAACTTACAGGAAAAAAATCTCCGGACTTAGGGCCGGTTGCTCAAAGCCTGATTGACACTAATCACCGATTAACATCGTTATCGACGTTTTCGGCTCCATGCAAATAACATGGTGTCGGTAACGTCGATAACGATGTTTAACCGGAGATTAGTGTCAACCAGGCTTTGAGCAACCGGCCCTAAATCCTGTAACTTCTGACTAGGAACAGTTGCTCAGTTACTCTCTCAAAAGTGTTCCCACTTACAGGTTTTATGTCAATAGGAACGACTTCCTGTAAGTTCTGACTAAATCCTGTAAACCGGACTGCTATGTCGACGTTCAGACACGAAAACTTTTGTTGCGGAAACTCGAAGCTTGTATGGGAGAGAGCGACGAGGAAAGGAGACGGGTACCGAGTCGCCCGTACTCGGGAAGCACGCTTTGTGCTCTCGTTCGTCTGTGTAATTCAAGTTGTCGATTCACAGCTGACAACAACAATTGCGTACAAAAGAGTTTCTGTGTGTGAATGCAAAGGGCAACAACAAAAGAGAAATCGCCGATAATAAGAAACTCGAGTTTCCGTGTTTGAACGCAGACTATTGGAACAGACTAAGGGCCGGTTGTTCAATGTCTGATTAGCACAAATCGGAGGTAGAAGCTCCGGTTAAGCACAACTACTGCTTTATCGATCACATGTTACATGCATGATGTCGAAATCGTCGATAGTGTAGTGGTAGTGATAATCAGACATTGAACAACCGGCCCTAAAGGCTCTGTTATGCATACTTGGCATTGCTTGAGAGTTGTCACATAAGGAATCTGTTAAATGAGCTTCGCGTGTAAGCTGTTACCCAACGCACAGCATTACATACGTAAAAGTCTGTTGGTTTTTGATTTCTACGTAAAAATGGTATAGCAGTGCATGCAATGCCAAGTATGCATAACAGAGCCTTGAATGTTTGCTCAAGTATCGGATGCGATTTTTAGATGATTGTAAATTATTATCGATAGAACAGTTTGATACCTATGTTAAAAGATTTGACTTGTTTTTCGTATTCCTAAAATAAGCTAGTTTACGTATCTCTGACTGAAAAATGGCAACATATTATTTCGTTATTATAGGGCACAACGACAATCCTATATTTGAAATGGAGTTTACGACATTTAATAAGGAAATGCGTGTAAGTAATGCAGAAGTAAAGTATCTTGGTGTTTGATGTATGTACTTGACAAATTTTTACAGAAAGAAGACAGTCGACATTTAAGTCAATTTATTGCTCACGCTGCGTTAGATCTAGTGGATGAGCACAAGTGGAGAACAGCCAATATGCAACTCAAATCTATCGACAGATTCAATCAATGGTTCGTGTCAGCATATGTAACCGCAAGCCAGATTCGGTTCATCATCGTACACGACAACAAAAATGATGACGGCATAAAGAACTTCTTTAATGAAATGCACGAAACCTATATTAAGCATTCCATGAACTCATTTTATAAAATCAATACTCCTATAAAATCACCGATCTTCGAAAAGAAGGCGCAACTCTTCGGGAGAAAGTGTTTACTATCGTTGTAAATTTAATAGTAGATGTAAAATCCGATTTAAGGGAATTTTGTAGAATGCAGGTTTACTTCGGATACCACCTGTAGTATCTGTTAGTTCGAGGCTGGTACAAAAGGGAAGGAAAGGAAGGGAGCGTTGTATCGCCCACCTATCCAGCTCGAAATAGAAGACCAAAGTATTCAGTCGTGCCTCTTCAAAATAAGGAAAATTGTTGATTTTGCTTACAAAATGCCACAAATATTTAAAGTACACCAAATAAAAGGACTTTTTTGCTTGGACCAAAAATGTAACAGAATAGGTACAAATTCCCCAGAAAGTTTTTCGGGAATGATACTCCAGCATCAACTCCGGTCCGGAAAAGTCGGGAGGGGTACCAAACGACGCACTTCGGTCCCCCTATTAACAATCTGGAGGGGGAGTGCTAATATTAACCATTTAAAAGTTATACAGCCCTATTCTGCATTTCGATTACGTTCCCGCATTCCGCTCCGCTGGAATCGAACTTAGGTATTCTGCGTTACGATCGAAACGTAAGAAGAAGAGGAAGACAGAAAACATTTTTCGAAATTAGCTGTTTGCCTAGGAATGTGTGAAATCGAAACAAAACAAAGAAATATTTGCCTCGAAACTATAGCAGCATATCAAGTTAAAGTTTGTAAATATTTTAAAATAACTAAATATACCTAGCATCACTGTTATTTAAAAAGAAAATCTAAGTGGATACATAATTATAAGAATGAAATTCATAGCCGCGGCGTTGTTGCTTGAAGAGAAGAACGAGTCCCAGATTGCTGGTGCGGAAGTTGAAAGGCGGAGATTTAGGGACATGTTTGATCTTTTTCAGATGAGTGAAGAGTCATAAGAAATTCATCTTGAACTGTATTACTCATCGCTTAAAGTCAGTGAAATTATAAACGTTGTTTGAGCAGTCCACAACATTTGCATTTACTACAGAGTGGAAGGTTTGAACGCAAATGAATCCCATTTTGAAAGCCGTCAGGAGGAGGGGAAGAACAAAGCTTATCTTTCCATAGCAAACCGAATTCGAGACAACATACTCTTTTTAAAAAGTTAGTAAAATCGAGTGCAATAATAAAAGCATATTTTTTATGTAACCTCACATTTTATGTATGTATGTATCTATGTGCATACATCTATTAACTTTATATAAAAAGAATAAATTGTATTCACTGCATTTCACAGTCTTATTTATAGATAATCTAAACAAAAACGCCTGGACTTCCACTTTGAAAACGTCGCGCAATATCCCTTTTGGTTGCCATTATTAGAGCCAATTTTTCGTATTGCCCTTGTTACCGCTCGCGAAAACACAGAAATCGAGAAAATTCAGTTATGATGACTTACAATCATATATATATTTATATTTTACTTAAATTTTTGTATAAAATTATATTATTTAAACCCATGAAAATAACAATTGAAACGTTCTCCGCCAACAAATTTGCAACTTAGAAAAACGGAACTACGATCGAAATGTAGAATAGGTATAATCGTAAATTTCGAAGATTGATCGAAAGGAAACGGAACGCAGAATACCAAAGTTGCCAAACGGAGAAAATTTCGATTCGAGTCGAAGTGCATTATAGGGCTGATAAACAAAAAACTTTTGTTAAATTTCGTTGCTTTGTATGGGCAATTACCCCGACAAAAATTCACTAAATCACCTGTACTCGCTTTTTAAATACTATTAAAATATATAATTTAACTTAATTATTAAACAAACACATAGTTTTATCAACCTAAGGTAGATTATTTTATTACTAAAAAGAAGTTGACAATCTTTGCGAACTGAAACGCGAGATTCCAAAATAGCTATAGTTCTTCCACTGCATTAGTATTTCGTTATAGGTGCAATCCCGTATTCCTCGGACTCGGACCACGATGCAGCGAACAAAGGTGGCGCCGTCAGTGGTACTGCTACTTTGGTTTTGCCGATTTTGACAGTTGTGGTAACTTGTAAATAAACCTTTGTTTACAAATCAGCGAAAGAGAAATTTTATGGGTCGATTATCGATAGCAATCGAACTTCAATGGCGTTGCTAGTTGCCAAAACGATATTACAGGTGGCAACTGGCAACTTTCAACTAACAACTGCAGTTGCTCCAAAGTGTGTATACAGGCGACTACATTTTTGTGGTGGCTGGGAATATTTTTGGAGCGTATTTAGGATCGAAAATTGGAAAATTGTGTCATACATTTTACTTTTTAATAATTAATTAATTTTAATAATTACTTTTACAGAATATGGTGAAAATAACAAAACAACTTGAAGTTTTCGTTCCCGTGGAGTACGCCCTTTTGGCGAAACAAAAGCGAACACTGATTGCAAATTTTTTCCTTTATCAACTGAAGTACCTCTTTTAAAACGACCCCGACACACCAAGTTTTCCAAATTAAAGTCATTGCTGTGGCACTTCCTTCTGCGAAAAATCGAAGAGATGCACAAGCTGTTATGAGCGGAGGTTTTGTAGTTGAACGAAGTGGTTCATCTGTTTATTAACCAATTATACAACAGCTTCTTTTGGAAGTCCTCAATATGCTTTGAAAATGAACACAAAACGGTAACAAAAGTAAAAAAAAATACAGTATATTTTGCTTAGCTGCACATCCTTCTTTGCACGAAAAACTTGTGCACTTAACCGAAAAAGGCACTTAAGCGAATTTTCTTTACTACTTCAATGAGGAAGGTATCCAAATCCCTATGAAACCAAATAATGGAGAAGCACTTACCACGTAGAAATTACTGTAAGCGAAATTTTTACCGAATAGTATCTAATTATCTATATAACTACATAAATTTATAGCCATTTTCGTTGTTCTGCGAGATGAACAAAATAAATAAAAAGTTGTAAAATTAGGTAATTGTAGGGCCAGTGCAGGTAAACGTAATACTTTCTTTGATAATTGATACTAGTCGCACAATTTTTAAGGCAGGTATCGCCAATGTGCAGGTATGCTAAATGCATCTATCGGAGCAGTTTCCTTATAAATGTTAAAAATAATGCCTCTGATGCGTATTTTGGGGTAGGTATCGTAAATGTGCACTTAAGCATAGATGCAGCAAAGCAAAATATACTGTACCTTGAGAGCATTACGTTTTGCTTCAGTACACGCGGTAGCTCTAGAGGATTGGAATTATCCTTTAAGGCCGCGTTCATGCACTTCTCTTCCTCTTAAACAAATAACTGTGATGAATTTAGCTTTATTGCTGTCTTTTCTTTAAAACTCTTCATTTTAATAATTTATTTTTAGTCGCACAGCTTGTTTACAGCCGCTTGCTGGTTATCGAACTGTCCAGTTTCGATTATCGATAACTCGACAGCAACTGACGATAGTTGCCATTCGTAATACAAATTTTCTTTCCAGTTGCGTTGTCAGCTGGCAACCGAACCGTGGTTGTGTTGCTATCCGTAATCGGCCCATTAATTTACTCCGCTACTGCCGCAAGATGGTCCTTCAGACCGGATCTCGGTTATTAACGCATATAAAAAAATCGCTTAACAATATAAAATTAATTTAATCGCAAGTACTAAAGTGAATACGCAATTAACTAAATACAGACTACAAAAACAATAAAACTAGAAGTGCACCTGCATTCGCTGCCGTGAAAGTGTATGTGAATAAACTATTTATGTTCATTGAAACCTACAGCCAGTAAGGCAAAAGAGCACATCAGGGAAACGGTTATTTTAAGGTCATATTCATTTCTTTGGTACACCGTTTTGAAGTGCATTGAAATGTCTGTGAACAAAAGAGACTCGGCACGAAATGCAATTAAACGCTCTCTTGAACTCAGTAAAGCTGAAAGCGGAAAATACTCCAAACAGCAGCT